AGAAGAAGAAGAAGAAGAAGAAGAAGAAGAAGAAGAAGAAGAAGAAGGGAAAGAGGAAGAGGAAGATTAAAAAGAAGAAAAAGAAGGAGGAGGAGAAGGAGGAGGAGGAGAAAAGACTAGTAGGTGGGACAGGTGTGCTAATGCATACCTCTAATTTCAGGCCCCGAGAGGCAAGGGGTAGGAGAATTACCACAAGTTGGAGCCAGCTGAATTACATACTGAGATTGTCTAATTTTCAAAGGTGGAAAAAAAAATAAGTTTGAAGGTGTCAGGCATGGTGGTGCACATCTTTTTAAAAATTTTTTATTTTACATGCTTTAGTGTGAAGGTGTCAGATCCCTTGGAATTGACCTTACAGACATTTGTGAGCTGCCATGTGGGTGCTGGGAATTGAACCCAGGTCTAATATTGGTAGAGCAGACGGTGCTCTTAACCACTGAGCCATCTCTCCGGTCCCAGGTAGTGCATCTTTAATTCCAGCATTCAAGGGCAGAGTTAGGATGCCCTCTGAGTTCAAGGCCAGCCTAGTCTACGTGGTGAGTTCCAGGACAGCCAGAGCTACATAGTGAGACCCTGGGTCAAAAAGGGGTGGGGGTTGGATCATTTTCTAGCCCAAAGGGAAGGCTAAGTTGCTAAAGATTAGGAGTTTTCCAGTTGCCCAGAAAACGCATGTTATTTGTCCTCAACGTTGAACAAGAATAATTAGTTTGAGTCGGTGTTAGACCATTTCTTCTACTCACGGCTAGAGAATTCCTGAGGGGTGACAAGCAAGTCTGAGTCCCCAGTGGAGTTACATGTCCCCCAAAGGCTCTTTGCAGATGTCTTGTATAGACTTACCTGAATAACAGCCTTCACAGGGGACAGAGGACAAGTTAGAGTTAATGTAGAAGATGCGGTCGGTCATTCTCAGACAGCAGACTCGTCGTACAGAAACTACGTCGTACAGCAGACTACGTCGTACAGAAACTACAGGAACGTTTTCCTAACAGATCCAAGTTCCTGTAGTTACACTGTCATAGAAACTGAGGGCTGTGATGTCATCACTACCTACTGAGGTCACATATGGAACCTGGGACTTGAGGGCTAGTCTTCCATGCCTCCATGTTTTTTTGGATTATTATTTTTTTTTGTTTTTCAAGTCAGGGTTTCTCTGTGTAGGCCTGGCTGTTCTAGAACTCACTCTGTAGACCAGGCTGGCCTCGAGAAACTCAGAGAGTCATCTGCCTGAGCCTCCCACGTGCTGGGGTTACAGGTGTGGGCCACCACTGCCTGGCTAAGTCTCTCTTCGAGGAGAGCAGGGCAAAGGCAGAGAGGAACTTGGCAAGGCTCTTCCACCTGGCCTTCGTAAGTAGCCACTCCCTGTGGAACACCTCTAGCTCAGCCCCGGTTGCCATTGGAGGGTACAAGAAATGCAAATTCTGATGTTGGTCCGTGTGAAGACTAACCTTATGTAACAAAATTTTGTTTTCCTGCCCCTAAGCAATGGAAAGGCAGAAATTTGGGTGAAGTAGAGAGCCAGAAAGGGTAGATATGCTGGTACACATGTTTGATCCCAGCTCTTGGAGGCAGATCTCTTTGAGTTTCAGGCCAGCCAAGACAATGTAGGGAGACCTTGTCTCAAAAAAAAAAAAAAAAAAAAATCCAAGTCTGGACAGGTGTAAAAGACACATTGGTTAGCAAAACTAAAAGGCAGGGGTTGAAGAAATGGCTTAGCAGACAAGAGCACAGACTGCTGCTCTTCTATAGGACCTCGGTTCAATTTCTAGCATCTATATGGAAACTAAGAGTTTGTAGCTCATTCCAAGGGGATCCAACACCTTCTTCTGACCATTGAGGGCACTGCATGGTTATGGTGCTCAAACATACATGCAGGCAAAACATCCATAAACATAAGATAGAAATCTAAATAACCCAACAAACAAAAAACAGGCAGCCAGACTTTTATTGACTTTGCTCTGTCTAAAGAATACATTCATGGGGGCTGGAGCCCCAAGGGGCCCAGCAGTTAAGAGCACTGACTGCTCTTCCAGAAGACCCAGGTTCAGTTCCCAGCACCCACATGAAGGTCACAACTGTAACTCCAAGATCTGATACCCTCCCACAGATATATATGCAGGCTAACCAACGCACATAAAATTAAAAGAAATTACCTTTAAAAAAAGAATACATTCATAGAGCCTTTCTTTTTCAATTGAGATCTTGAGAAAATCTAAGAAGACTGTGGGTGGAGAGCTATATTCAGAGTGCTTACCTGGCCTGCATGAAGCCCTTGGTTCCATCCCCAGCACCACATAAAGCAGAATGCACTCTTGCAGTTTCTGCACTTGGGAATGAATGCAGAGGGATTTGGAGTTTGAGGACAGCAAGAACGGTTTCCCCTCAGCAAGTAAACAAATGCAATTTTTTTAAATAAATGCTGAAGCAAATGGGCTCCCTCCAATAAAGGCTGAGGTAGGAGAATCAAGAGGAGCTCAAGGTTAGCCTGGATTCGTAGCGAGAGACCCTTTCAAACTACTAAAACTAAACCCTCACGTATGTCACCACACCCAGCTTTAATCCCAGCATTTGTGAGACAGAGGCAGGAAGAGCTGAGTTTGAGACCAGTCTGGTCTACAGAGCAAGTTTCATGCCAGCAGGGCTACACAGTGAGACCCTGTCTCAAAAGATAAAACAACAAGCAAAAAACTAAAAAAACCAAACCTAGGCTCCCTCCACTCCTGCCAAATTCAAACAATGAAATCTCCACACTTATACAAGGTCACACAGATAATGTATTTGCTTTCAGAAAAAAAAAAAAAATTCTTTACATTTACTTCTTGTTTGTATGTCTCTGTGTGTGCCCATATGCCACAGATTAGTGTTGAGGTCAGAGGACAACTGGAGGTAGTCAGTTAACTCCTTCTGTCTTTGTCGGTCCTAAGAAGGAACTTGGGTTGTTACAATTGATACCAGGTGACCTAATTCATTTAGCTATTTCACCAGCCCGTTTCAGTGTGTGTGCGTGAGTGTGTCTGATTTCAGCAACACACATACAATTAGAAGAAATATGACTTCATATTTATGCTGGGATTCCAGATTTAGAGCTGACAGAAATATGACAAGCTCATCATATTTGGAAGTGCTGTAGGCCATTCTATTTAAAGTTGGAAGGACGTTAAAGGTGCTGTAAGGGAAAACAGTTCTTGCCAGTGACTTCACAAAGTGGGTTTGGCAGAATATTTTTGTATAAATAGTATTTAGTAGAAACCATACTCATGACCCAGTGATATAATACAAATGGGCAAGCCTTTCACTTCCCTTTTCAAACAAACAACAGGGTTGGAGATACAACGGTAGAGCCCTTGATCAAGCTTGAAGAACTGGGATAAACTGCCAGTATGGCAAACAACCATGACAAAAAGAAACAACAAAAAACCGAAACAGGGCTTGGATGCTTGGCTCCCTGAGTGCATACTTGCAGAGGACCAGAGTTTGGTTTCCAGCCCTTCCATGGGGACATTCCCAATTGCATAGAACTCTGGCTCCAGGGATCTCGTTCTCTAACTTCTAAAATCACCTGCATCATGTGCACCTACAGACACATACATGTACAAATAATTCAAAATTAAGCTTTAAAAAGATCAAAGCAACCCAACCCAAGCCAACAAAATCCTTCATATGGTGGAGTGTGAACCCTAAAAATGTACTGAATTCTCTTCAAACAGCGGTTACTGTTAGGGTAACCATTATTAGGTAGGTGTAGAGGCAAAAGTGAACTCAGAGATCCACCTTTGTCTGCCTCTGGAGTACTGGGATTAAAGGCATGTGTCACCTCTAACTGGAAAGAGATCCTGTCTTTTTTGTTGGTTTTTTTTTTTTTTTGTTTGTTTGTTTTGTTTTCTTTTTCTTTCTTTCTTTTTTTTTTTTGAGACAGGGTTTTCCTGTGTAGTCTTGGCTGTCCTGGGCTGGGCTGGCCTTGAACTCAGAGATCTGCTGGCCTCTTCTTTCTGAGTGCTGGGATTAAAGGCGTGCACCACCATGCCCAGGTGAGACTGTCCTGAAAAAAAAAGAAAAGAAAGAGGACAACTAGAGCTAATTACATACAACAAATTCAAGTCCACTGTGGGCTCTATAATGCCAACCTGTTTCAAAACACATATATCACCAAATTTTTTAGAAATCATGGCATGAGGTCCATTGAGATAGCTCAGCGGGTAAAGGCACTTCTTATGCAAGCCTGGTGCTCTCAACTAGATCCCTGGGACACACAGAAAGGTGGAAAGAGAATACTGACTACACAAAATTGTTCTCTGACCTCCACACACGCATATAATTAGAAGAAAAAGAAACAACGACATGTAAAATCAAGATCCACTTTATTTTTTTAAATATGTTACTCTCCAACCCTGGCCAGTAGCTTACTCTCCAATTCTCCAGTTCATTAAGCTCTCAGAGAGGCAGTCACACAGTGACAGGTGTGTTCCACCTTCCTGGGCCTCCAGGAATGTCCCTGCTCTAACATTAGATTTGAACCAGCCAAAACCAAATCAGGCTTGTTGAGGCAAGGGGTCTTTCACTGAAGATGGTAGTCCTGGGAGGCTTCTCCTTCGACGAGCTGCTAGCTCAATTTTCTGAACCAGGCTCACATCCCAGGGGTGGGTCACAAAACTGATAACGGTCCCTGGCACTTCGCTGCCCACACGACCCACCCTTCCTGCTCTGTGGATGTAATCCTGCAGAGTAGGGGGGAAATCATAATTGACAATCAATTCCACATGGATGCTGTCTAGACCTCGTGAGGCTATGTCTGTGCAGACAAGTACGTTTTGGGAGCCGTTCTGGAAACTCTGGAAGATACCTGCCCTCATGGAGGCTGGCATTTGCCCTTGCAGCCTTAGATGCTGGATTTTGTGGTCATCCAGAATATATCCCAGCCAGTTCACAGTGCTGGAGCTATTGCAAAACACCAGGATGGTTCCCGAGGGTTCTGTCTTTTTGGTTTTGTCATGCTGTTTGAGGATCTGAACCAGTTCTGTTACCTTCTCTGCTCCCTTTAGCCTCATAAATGTCTGTTTGACATGAGGCATGATGCAGTGGAGCTTGGAGCTGGTGATGGTGGTGAGATAGTCTGGGCTGCTGACTTTACTCAGCAATTGGTTTAGGCCTTCTGGAAACGTAGCTCCCACCATCACTAACTGAGCTTTGGGATTGAATGGGTCTTCTAACTCATCTGGACTTTCTGCTATAGGGCTTTTTTCCAAGATGTAGTCCACCAGTTCCAGGAAGCTTTCATCCAGCAGTGTGTCTACTTCATCCAACACTATGAAGGAAAGACGCTCTAAGTTGATCAGTTGACTTTTCAGAGCCTTCCACAACGCCCCTGGAGTGGCCACTACCACATCTGCTGACGGACATCTACACAGCTGCATTTTGAGCCTGCTCATGCCGAGGCCTCCGCCAAGCGGTATCACCTGCAGGTCCAAGTATCTACCCAACGACTGGGCCACCGCCTGCACCTGTTCGGCTAATTCTCGGGAAGGTACCACAACCATGCCCCGGGGAGCGGTGGAACGGCGGGAGTCCAGGTTTGCACTTCTCAGGAGCCGTTGAAATAGGGGCAGTAGGTAGCTGAGCGTCTTGCCACTACCAGTTTCAGCAGCGCAAAGGACGTGGCGTCCGCGAAGCAGTGGAGGAATGGTTTCCGACTGCACTGAGGTAGGCCGAACAACTTCGGGCGCAGCTTCCTGAAGCGCGAGCAGCACTCGGGGCTCCAGACCCAGGTCCTCGAAGCTGTCCCGGGACGAGAGGTTCCTCAGGGCGGGCGCCTCCTGCTGCACTCGCTCTATGGAAAAATGGTCCCGACGCGATCGCCGATGCTTCCAGCCACGCGAGGCCAAAGGCGCGCACTCCCAACGGCCCAGCGTGAGGCGGGCGGGCTGGTTCAACTCCGGCCGCCGCGCCGAGACCAACAGTGGCCCAGGTCGCACTAGCACCGGGCGTGGGAAGCTCCCACGGCCGCTCTGTCGCTGCTCCTGTCGTCGCTGCAGAGCCCGCGGGACGCGCACCACTGGCAAGGGCTCGTCGGAGCCGCGCCCCGCTAAGTTCCGTCGGGGCTCCCGAAGCAATCGAACGGCTAGTGACAAAATCCTTGCCGGCCGGGCTAAAGCCATGTTTCCCTTGATGCAGGAGAGGCGCGTGCTAGTGACGTCAAGTAGGCGACCGTGGTCCTCAGTACGGTGGCTGACGCGGATCAGCGTGGCGTGTGGTGTGGCTGCAGCACCGTCCGGAAGGAGGGAGGATCCTTAGAATTCAGTGGCTGCGAGGTCTGTAGGTTCCCATCGGGCGCGGCGATGCCAGATTGGGGTCATCTTTGGGGGAGGGTACGCGGTGGAGGCAGGAGTGGTAGTCTGCTATAGGAGGTGGCCGTGGGGCCCCGCTCGAGGCACCAGGTGTGACGATGGCTTCTGTCTCTTCCGTGCTTCATTGTCCCTGTCCATCATCCCAGAAACTCCAAGGGTGCGGAGTGTGAGGATGGTCTCAGATACGCGCTCTGCGCATCTGCCTGGTGATGGAAATTTAGTGAGTCTGAATGAAGAGTAGGCCTGGAGGCTGAGGAAAAGGTTGGGAGTCTGGTGTCCAGGAGCTCAACCCTGTTCCCTGGTTTAGACCCCAGAGTGCATGCTGGTGGCCTTCAGCTACTTTCGACTGTGAAGTCTGAGATGAGGTCTCAGTTCTTTCAAGTGGAGTTTCTCGTTTTTACATACTGTCCCTTCCTTTCCAAGCAAGCCTCACCTTCTGTTCCTTGTCACCCCTTCCAGCTTTTCATACCGGACCGACCACTCTTGCAGTCTGCTCATATCCGCTGGCTGCTCAGACAGATTTTAAACTGCATGAATAGAAGTGGAAATAAGGGCCCCGATAACGTTACGGAGAGATCACACTTATCTCACATTGAACTGGCCAAGCAGGCTACTTCACTTGAATTTATTGGTTCAGGTTATTTAAAAAAACTTTTTTTATACTTCATACTTCTTGAACACATCTGAAAATTAAATGGGTGTTAGGTGTTTTATGTAGTGTGAAGTGCCTGGAGTGGGAGATAAGGTCAGTTGTGTGGATTGATTACCTGGGAGGTTCCTAATATCTGGAGAAAGTGTTTTAATTTCATTAACTAGAGCTGGCCTTCCATATTTTTAAGTGGACATCTGTGGATTTTTCTACTGTAGAGTAAAAATATTCATGAAAAACTTATCTGTTCTAAACATGTCTAATTTTTCTTTAATTAATTTTACTTCCTAACAATACTCCCTATATTTACATCGTGTTTATATTCTATAGTCATAAATAATTTACAAATGATATAAAGTATGTGAGAGAGGGTTGGGATATAGTTTAGGGATACTGTTCTTGACTATTAGCGTTTGTGAAGTCCTCAATTCACACCCCCTCCCCCAATAGAATATAGAGGGATGTGTAGGAATTTAAATAAGGGGCTTGAACATTCTCAGATTTTGGTATCTTCGAGGTTCTTAGAGCCAGTCTCCAATTGCTACCTGTTGATGATTGTACCATTAAATAGACTGAAATTTAGCTGGACATGTTGGCACATGCCTTTAATACCGGCACTTGAAAGTCAGAGGCAGAGGCTAGGTGTGGTGACGCACTCCTGTAATCCCAGCACTCAGGGAGGCAGAGGCAGGCAGATCTCTTGAGTTCGAGGCCAGCCTGGTCTACAAAGTGAGTTCAGAACAGCCAAGGCTACACAGGGACACCCTGTCTTATAAAAAAAAAAAAAAAAAAAAAAAAAAAAAAAAAAAGAGGCAGGGCGATCTGTGAGTTGGAGGCCAGCTGGTCTGTTATATGGCATGGACTATGACAGTAAGACCCTGTCTTAAGAAAAAAAAAATAGGACATAGGATTATTTTATTTTACTTTTTCTTTATGGTAGTAGAGCATGGCAAGCACATTATTAGTAATCCACAGCCCCAATCTTGACTGTCTCCCTTCCCTTTCACCCCCCCCCTTTTCTTTCTTCATGTAGTCCTAGAGCTCACTATGCCCAGTCCTAGCCCTTGACTTTCTTCTTGTTCCCGTTGTCTGTCCCTTCACAGTATCTCTAGAATGTGACCACTTCTTCCTAACTTCACTGAATCCCTGTCATCTCTCCTGGTGATTACTGAATTGCCTTTGAATCCATCTCCTTGCAGTACTGCCTGCTGCAAGCCCTTTCTTGACCTCTTCTCCAGTTTGCTATTAATTCAGTGGTTAGTGTGAGAACATGAGTGAGCTCTTGCTACTTCCCCACTTGTAACCCTTTACAAGAAGAGAATGTCCCACCATGACCTACATAGTCTGAGTATTGCCTCTTACTATCTAACTTTCAGGAGTCAGTTCTCTCCTTCTACTGAGGGTTCGAGGGATTAAACTTGGGTGGTTGTGCTTATGTAGCAAATGCCTTTACCCGCTGAGCCATCTCACCAGGCCACCACATATTTCTAACTTTTATTTTCCCTTTCTTCAGGCATAGCAGAGGAGGGATGATTGTGAATAGCCTCTCCCTGTGCTACCACAATAAGATCATCTTAGCCCCTATGGTTCGAGTGGGGACTCTACCAATGCGACTGCTAGCCCTGGATTATGGAGCAGACATTGTTTACTGTGAGGTAAGGTATTCCTGGCTTTCAGGGAGTCTCAGGGGAAGGGAGTATAGGTTTCATTTTTGGGTATGAAAGTATTTAGAAGATGGGGAGGCAGAATGGGACCTTCACTCATGGTCTTACTAAATCAGGAGAGAGCCACACACATGATTCTGGTGAGTTCTGTTGCTCCTGATGCCCTCAGGAGTAGGGCAGCAGAGAGCTGTGGGTCAGATGGGTAGATGGGCTTCCTGTCATCCACTGCTCAGGCCTCCAGTATGCCAGTAAACTAACTTAAGTTTAGAAGAAAAGAGAACCAGATTCAGAGTAAGGAAGTTGCATGAGGTTGGTGATAGGTCAGTCAATATTTCCACTGGCTGCTCCAGAGATAATTAGGGCTTCAGAAAGGTCTGATAGGAAAATAGAATCAAAAGAGTAAGCTGCTCCTGGAGTGCTCTCAGCTGAGCACTTATCAGAATGATCTGGAGTGCTATCAGAACATGGCTGTCCAGGGCCATGGTACCAAATCCCTTTCTTTAATCCAGCACTCAGGGAGGCAGAAGAAGGAGGATCTTTGTGAGTTCAAGGCCAGCCTGGTCTACAAAGTGAGTAAGTGAGTCTAGGACAGCCTTAAAAAAAAGAAAAAAAGAACATGGCTGTCAAGATGTGTGGTAGAAGAGACTTCACATCTTGTATCAGCCAAGAGGCAGAGAAAATGTAGCAGGCATACATACCCCTTAGACATTCTTCCTCCAGCTGGGCCACATCTGCAAGTGTTTGTCATCTCCCAGTAATACTTGACTTTTATTGTGTGAAGTCCAAAGCCCCACTTCAGGAAATGTTGCTGAAGCTTGAGGTTTGAGAGAAGTAGGGTAAAGGGAGCTGTTTGTAGATTCTTAGAGTGTTTATAGAATATGAGGAGGGCATTCAGTATGGGCTGGGTTAAGGCGAGAGGTAGGGTCAGGTATTGGGTGCAGGCCAGGGTTTTGTTTCTTATGCTGAAAATGAAATGTAGGGCTTTGCAGCTCTTAGACAAGTTACATCCTGGTTGAAGATTCTTCTTTTAACAAAACGTTTGTTGGGGGGTGCTAGACTTTCATGCAAAAGTCAAACAACAACTTTGGGAGTTGGTTCATCTTCTCTTGGGTTCTGCAGATCAAACTTAGGTCATCAAGCCTGTGCATTGGTGTTTTTTTTTTTTTAAATTTTAATTTAATTAATTAATTAATGTTTTTTTTTTTTTTTTTTTTTTTTTTTTGCCTGCACGTATGTCTGTGTAAAGTTGTCAGATCCCCTGGAACTGGAGTTTTAGACAGTTGTGTGCTGCCATCTGGTTACTGGGAATTGAACCTGGGTCTTCTGGAAGAGCTGCTTGACTCTTAAGCACTGAGCCATCTCTCCAGCCCCCCACGATCAGTCTTGTGCAGGAAGGTCTTTTACTTGCTGAGTCACTGTACTGGCTCCTCCCTTTTTTGAGACAGACCTTTGTGACCTAGATTGGCCTCAGTCTTCAGAGTACTGGGATTATGGGCATGTGCCACCATGTTCAGCTGCTAACTGGTGTGTGACATTATTTCTGGACAGAAATGAATGAACATATACTCATCCCAGATAGGGTACCTGTGACAGAGAAAATACAGATACCACCAAAGGCCAACCTGGTGAGCCAAAGAGTTTTTTTGTTTTAATTTTATTTTTGAGAATATAATATAATGATCCAAATACTTTTATTAGTTACTTCAGGAGTATGAGTAAGGAGTTACATACAAGAGCAGAAATGACTTAAAGACAGCTATATTACCAAAGCTCACCCCAGCTGGAAATGTCGAATGCATTGCACAACTTTCAGGCACCTAGACAGATTGGAGAATGTCTCTTTTAGGCACCTCAGCTGGTCTGAGCCTCTTCTACGAAGTTCAGCCAGTCTCCGTCTTTCCCAGGTCGCTTAGCTAATCTGAGAGTGAGTGTGTCTTTTAGAAGTCCTTACTGCTTATATGTGCTTGGGCTGGGAGGAGCCTGGTATATCTGGTCAGTTTCAAGAATTTCCTGAAGCCTTTGAGTTGTTTACTTCCTGAGCCTAAGGTGCTCCCTCAGGAAGGAACGCAGAGAAGGTTAAAGGATGGAAGATTTCACCTCTCTGTTTTATCTTGGAGGACATTGCTTCACAATACCAGCCTAAACTTCTTGACAAGGTGGTAGGAACTGCCTCTGTTTGAGATGACAAAGAAGGAAGAAACAATGGAAGGACAAGAAGCCAAAGGAAGGCACTCTTCTGTTGAAAATGAATGGGACAATGAAATGATCTACGTGATATAGTTATTGACAAACATGCTAATTAAGCCAGTTAAAGTTTTGAGTCCTCTTTTTAATGACCAGACCAAGAGTGGGCTGGTGCCTCTGAAAGTCTCTTAGTACTGAAGAACAGGTATAAGGGTTTTCCCAGCACAACGGTATCCATGCAGTCAGGAGCCAAGAAATACCACAAGTCACATCAGGCAAAAACCTCCCCCAAGAGATTTACTGGGGAGAAATACAAAGTGGCAGCTGCTTCTGAAGGCGAGGAGAGATAGCAGAGGGCTGGGCAAGGTGGAGGGCTTTTATAGGGCCCTGGAGCATGTGCAATAAACAGGGCGTTCTTCTTCCCTGTCCCTGGTCCCCACATCAGAGGTAGAGGGTTTTTTGTTTGTTTGTTTTTTGTTTTTTCCAAGAAGGGGTTTCTCTGTAGTGTTGGTTCTCCTGGACTCCTTTTGTTGACCAGGCTGGCCTCGAACTCATAGTGATCTGCCTGCCTCTGCCTCCCTGAGTGCTGGGTTCAAAGGCATGCACCACCACTTACAGCAAGTGCTGATATTGTATTATTCAGGGTTCTCTAGAGGAGCAGAGCTGATAGAATGGTGTGTGTGTGTGTGTGTGTGTGTGTGTGTGTGTGTGTGTATGGTATTTATCAGAGTGGTTTGCAGGCTGATCGTCTGAACAGAGGTTCTCATACCTAGATGTCAGGCACTTTACCTGTTGGGCCATTTATTCAGCCACTATACCTGTTTTGTTTTGTGTTGGGGATTTAATTGGTTCCTCAAGCTTGTACATCAAGCGTTTTCCTGGATGAGCGATCACCCCAACTTGGAAAGCATGTTTTACCAGTAAATGTGACTAATTCTCTCTTTCAGTGTCCTCCTCAAATTTGGGGTGGAAATTCTAACTACGTTAGCCCTGTTTGGTGTGCGCTATCCTAAGAGAAGAGTTGTGATTTAGGAACAAAGAGGCTTTTGCTAGATGTGTCAGTCCTAAGCCTCTCACCCAGGCCCAGCGTCTGAGGAGAGCAGGCAGAGAAGCAGGTGTATGTCTTGCTTCCTTGGGACTAGAGTCTGTGAATTGGGCATGGTACAGTGTGGTGCCTAATGCCCCCTGGTGGAGCCAGAGTTGCTGTACAGGCCAGCGTCAGTACTGACTGCCTGCATGTTCTTTCTAGGTCATTCACATAGTTGATCTGTGAGGTTAAGTAGTAGAATCAGCTAGCCTGCCGTGTACAATGGAGCATCCGGTAGCGCTACTGTAAGGAGACACCTGACTTACTTTCATTGTTTGTATCTTGGCCTTTTGAGACAGGCTCTAACGTTATAGTTGTGGGCCTGCAACTTAATGTGTTAGCCAAGTTGGCCTTGACTTCCCAGACAAAACTTCTGCCTGTTTCCTGAGTGCTGGAATTAAAGGCATGCACCACCACACCTGACAAGATTTATTTTTTATTTTTATTATATATACACTGTAACCTTGGAGCATAGTGCCCAGCCTGCAGGGAAGCTAATGTGAGTTGTTTTAGTTACTATTTTACTGGGCTTCGCTGCAGGATGGAGACTTTCAATCTTAGAGGAAACTCCTACCCAGTAATGCCTGTGGGTGCCTGGTGCTGCAGAAGAGGGCATGGGGTCCCTGAAATTGAGTTAGAGAAGGTTGTGAGCTGACATGTGGAGTACTGGAAACCAAACCTGGGTCTTCTTCAAGAGCAAAAAGTGCTCTTAACCACTAAGGCATCTCTCTACCCCATCATAACTATTTTTAGTGTACAGTTCATAGTGTTAAATAATCTGTGTTGTTATGAAACAGATCTCTAAAGCTGTATTACCTTGCAAAACAAACTCCATAAGAGCAACTCCCTAACCACCTTCCTAGCTAACCTCTGATAACCACTGCTGTTTACTGTTTCTATGAGTGACTCAGATAAATGGAACTACACAGCATTTATCACTGCAGAAATGCCTTAGTTTATCTAGCATAATGCCTTTTTTGTTAAAGATTCATTTTAATTTATATGGGTATGAGCTTGTAAGTACAATGCTTGTGGATGCCACAAGCAGGTATCAGATTCCCTTGAACGGGAGTAACAAGCAGTTGTGAGCCACATGATGTGGGTGCCAGGAACTGAACCCTGGTTTTCTGCAGGAACAGCACGTGCTCTTAATGCTGATCCATCTCTCAGGCCCTAGTGTAATGTCTTAAAGATTTATCTAGGCCATATGTGATAATGAATGTCTTTAATCCCAACCCTAGCAGGCAAAGGCCGGCATATCTGAGTTCCAGGCCAGGCAGGATCTACAAAGGGAGACCCTGCCTAAAACAGGAAAGAAAACAACACATGCACACACACACACACACACACACACACACACACACACACACACACAC